ACGGAAAAATCAATTTAAGACGTAATCAAACAGACGATGAACACTATTAACAGCAATTACTATATGATGCAGTCAAACTTATAGCAAAGTTTGGTAGTTCCAGAGGCGGACAGTAGTGAAGTATTTTTACTCTGCTGTAAAAGTACTTTTCAGATGTCTGTACTTTAAAAAAGGGACAATGGACAAATTAAACTTAAAATATAAAACAAATTCTTCTGTAAAGTAAGTTTAAGCAGTAAGTATTAAGCAGCACGACTGTTTCCAACACTGATAATAAATCAGCATATTAGAATGAATTCTGAAGGATTATGTGACACGGAAGTAATGGGTGATGAAAATTCAGCTTTGCATAACAGGAATAAATTACATTTTAAAGTATACTAAAATAAAAAAACTGTATTTTTACTGTGTTTTTCTGTATTGTTGATCAAATAAATGCAGCCTTGATGAGATGAAATACGTATATATATATATATATATATATACATACATACATGCAAAATGGATTATGATTTGCAGTGTGTCAGAATTACTCAGAATGAATATTCCTTAATTTTGAGTTCCCACTTAAACTCTCTGCTATTATGTGTGTTTTTTCCAGTCCACATTCAGACGTGTCGAGCTCTGATGGTGATCTCAGTGCTGATGGGATTCATTGCTATCATTGTGAGTGTGGTCGGGATGAAATGCACAAAGGTGGGTGACAACAACCCATCCATCAAGAGCAAGATCGCCATCTCTGGTGGGAGTCTGTTCCTGCTCTCAGGTGAGACTCCAACCCCAGGCTAAACACACTGCATTTTTATGTAGGTTTGGTGAGAATAAGTAAAATTGTGTTTTCTAATAAAAACATGACCATTTCTTTTTGTAATGGTCGTATACGCTGGATTGGTTTGAGATGATCATACCAGTAAACTTACTAAGAAACATGGAGCGAAAACATAAACAAAGTCATTACTACTCTCTACACAAGTGTTACTGTGCTAAGAATGAGTAAATTGTGTTATCTAGGTCAGTGTCGCACATACCTCAGTCCAGTAAATCATTTAGTTTTGGAGAATAAATTGACATTCCTCCATTAGCCTCCACATTCTTGAGGTCTGTTTTGGTCCTCGGACGCTATATCACTTCTGACCCATCTGACATTCAGGAGTAAAAAGGAAGTGGCTAGTCTGGTCACATTAGCACTTTCTGCGAAGGTTGAAAGTAAACAAACAGAGATGTACTCAATGACAGTGCTAAGACTGTGATTTCTATCATGTCTAGGTTTGTGTACGCTGCTGGCTGTGTCCTGGTACGCCACACAGGTCTCCTACCATTTCTTCGACCCGAATACGCCAATTAACGCCAGGTAGGACCATTAATAGATTTTAAAATTATGAGGGAAACTGTTTTTTTTTTTTTTTTATCAGTTAAACATATAATTCTCATTAATTATGAACCAATCAAATGTCACTGGTAAAAACAAGTAATAAAATAAAAATTTATTAAAATAAAATATAAAAATTATATTAAAAAGTCATATAAAACATATATGTATAATACATATAAATATACACATACATTATTTATAAATTATAAATACATTATATAAGTGCATACATATAATTTAATATATAATAAAATAAATGAATTATAATATTTAGATGTTTTTTATTTTATTTTAGCCAACACGGCAAAAATTATTTTCTTAAGAATAAAACAAAGAACAGATTATTGTATACCTTTTACAATAAAATACAATTTCAGTATTTCTACTTTAATTTAATGTGTTAGTTGCTGTTTCTTTGTAATTATTATTGAAATTTACAAGCAATTTCTGAGTAAAATCCTGTTTCAAATTTTTTTAAATACTACAATGTATTATATTTCAGGTATGAGTTTGGCCCCGCCCTCTTTGTCGGATGGGCGGCTGCCATCCTGGTGATGTTGGGCGGCTCATTCCTCTGCTGCTCCTGTGTTAACAAGGACAGAAGAGGACAGCAGTTCTACCGGCAATCTCAACCCTCTACAGCCAGGGAGTACGTGTAAATCCAAAAATAAATAAATAAATAAATAACAGTACAGCAGAAAAGGAGAAACTGTAAATGTAAAGAGCAGCGGGTACAAGAGACAGAGCTCTTCCCACCATGAGCACACCTTCTCACTCGCACTGACCGTTTTATCCAGGTCCAAAACACACAAACTAAACTATCACATGGACAAATATTTACATTGTGTAGGTAGGCCTGCGGTCAAGGAAGATTGTGTACTTTTTTTCAGAGATACTGTATAAGCATGCATCTTGCTATAATTTCATGAACAATGTGGAAATTCTATACTTTATTGACATGTACGGTTTTCCCAACATACTTTAATAAGCTTTTTTATTAAAGGGGTCCTATTATGCTCTTTTACAAAGTCTTGATTTTGTTTTGGGGGTGTACTAGAACATGCTCTCATGCTTGGTGGTTCGAAAACTCATTATTTTTCACATAATTTACATTATTAAAATACCTTAATTTTTTTATGAGTGTAGGCACACCGGTGGCGCCGTTCGGCGTCTTTCCGCGGCGCCCAGCTACGTCGTGTTGTACTTGTAAGAATTGTTCTAGACATGCCGAAAATTTGAAGTTACAGCACAGCAGCTCTTCTTCTTCGTTTTCTCTGATGCACTAACTCTGCAGCAGCACTTCTTCTTCGTCTCGTCTGATGCACTCACTCAACCAAGCGTTCTAACCACAACCTCGCCCCTCCCCACCCCCCAACCATTCCAATTTCTGTAGGCGGGAATTCTTTTTAATGATATTCTAATGAGCCGCTTTGTGATATCACAAAGCCCGGAAAACAAACGCTGTAGTCCAAACGAGCCGTTCGTTGTAGTTCTTGAAAAGGGATTTTTAAAAACTAAATATCTCCCTTTGGAGTGGACTTTGAGATTTGTAACTTCCTAGATCTTTTTTATGCCCAAACATACACACTACACACTGACTAAAATTTAAAAAGTGAAAAAGCATAATAGGACCCCTTTAAAGGTGCAGTATGTAATTTTGACAACTAGTGGTTTAAATAGGTACTGCAGTCCAAATTCAAATTTTTGGAGAGAGTTGTTTCTCCCGCCAACTCCCCCTAAGACACAAGGCTCACGCGGGTTGCCAGATTGAGGACACACAACGAGAACGAGTGCAATTGACAATGGAAGGAGACGAGCCTTACACTGTAAGTTGATGAGTTGATTTATCCGCATTTTAATATGACTCTGGTTATAGAGTTTTTAGATGGACGCTGAGGCTTTTTAGGCCGGGTAGAATCTGCGATCTCTGACCCAGTTCGTTTGCAGGCTTCCATGGCTGCAAGGCACTGTGTTTTCCACCAACTGGCAACCCGGGGTGTCTAAATACTATTGGATAAATTTGCAACGGGTGGAATCACACACACCAAAACAAAAACAGACATTTCGACACGAAACGCACATATTGAAGTCGAATAACTGGCTGTAGCATTGTTTTTCTGAGAAACAATTATGTCAACTTAGCATGTTTTCTAAATATTTGCAAACATATTATGATATTTTATGCTTTTAGTACAGTCAAAAAATTCAATACAGCCAACGCTATCTCACAGCCAATTCGTACGTATTTTACGAGGTGGCTAATTCGTACAAATTAATATGACCTCACTTGTACAATTTTGTACGATTTCTGTGACGGTTAAGTTTAGGGGTGGGGTTAGGTCTGGTCCTTCATACGAATTCCTATGAATTTGCCACCTCGTAAAATATTTAAGATTTTTCACAAATCGTATGAATTTGTACGAGTGAGGTCGTACGAATTCATACGAATTAGCCACCTTGTCAAATATGTATGAATTGCTGTGAGATCGGGTTGATACAGCACCTTTAAGGAATCCTATTTTTTGCCAAAAAAATAGATTTTACAAACCAATTTAAAGCTGAAATTCCTAAAAAGTTACAATTTACACTGGACTCTTTTTTATTATTAATTTTACAAGGTTTCAGGGAAAACTTCCATGTACACTCAAACTGTATTATGTAAAGTGAATGGAGATATAATCTGGGTACAAAGTCTAACCGATATAAAAGATTTCACAATCTTTATTTTGACTTTTAACAAACCAAAAGGCAAATAAAGTCAAAAGAGAAATGTGATTCAATGTGGCATACAGCGGCTATGTTTGGACTAGCATACTACTCTTATGATATATGCAGTATAATGTGAAAAGTATGCATGGAATACATTGATTACCTACTACATTTGGGAAACCCCACAATGCAATGAGCTTGAGTGGATTTTTAACATTTCTTGACTCATTATTCAATCAGACACAAATAGCAAAATACTTTTTTGTTCAAAATTAGATAAAAAAAATGCAAAACAACCATTCATGTGACAATGTATAATGCATTCTGTTGTACATAAAATTATTATTTTTTTAATTAGTAAGCATTATACACAGTATATATAGCACAGATTCAGCAAGTAGTATTTCAATCCGAACATAGCCTATAGATAGAAACGTGTCATGGCTCTTCTGATTGGCTGCTCTGTTCTGCATGGTGGGAGCTCTGTTTGCCAGCTATGTGTGTTCTTGACAGCCATGGTCACACTGACACCACATTGAGGAGACCAGGAGTTACGACAATTCCACCGTCCACTGAAGTACAAGGAATTCTACTAGAAACATAGGACATTATTTACAACCATTGAGTTCCAGTGCTCCAGTGTGGGAACTGGGAATTAGCTGACTTGAGTCAAAATGTCCAGCGCAAGCTGTAAACATGCTTTTTAGATAAAGCACTTTTGAGGGAAAGTCCAGCACTGGTTTTAGTCCAAAGTATGCATCAGAAAAGCATTCAGAATTAAATGAGAATGAATTGATAATGCTATTTGGACTCAGTTTACTAAAATAATTAAACCAATCAGGCAATGGCTGAAAACACACACACACACACACACACACAAGATTAGTGCTGATCACAATTTGCCTCATATTCACAAAAATGTGCACTGACAAAGGCTCAAAGAGAGCAAAATATCCAGACCATGATAATTACAGGGGGGGGGGATTAAAAGAAAAAGGGCAACAATTACTACCACCACTATCATTAGAAAATGTACATATTGATTTAAACATAAAATAAATAAATACATAACATCCATTCAACATTAGCTAAATCGGTGAGATCTGTGAATCCAGTGTTTTCTATAATTAACCTCATTTGCATAGAAAGGAAGTATGTTTGCCTCAAAAAAATGAATGACAGTGGGCCTTATTTATGAAACACAAGCAGACCAAATTGTGCATAAACCAGTCTTATTTGTTCCATACATTATAAAATCATTTTTACATTGCTGCATTTAATTCTATGGGATGATTTTACATAAAAATGGATTTACACAGACATATTTTTCTGCATGTATTTAATCTAAAAAAATGTCCAAATACAAGTTAGTGCAAACATGCATGGCACAGCACTTTACCAACACATATTCACCTTAAATTGCAACATGCATATTTTCTTTTCACAAGGATTCACAAGGAAGCCCGTTTCCACCACTGAATAAAACATATAAAATAGTTATTGCGACTTTTTATCTCACAATTCTGACTTTTTCTCACAATTGTTTATATCTCGCAATTCTGACTTTTTCCCAGAGTTGCGTGATATAAACTCGCAAATGCAAGAAATTATGTCAGAATTGCAAGATATAAACTTACAATTCTGACTTTTTTTTTATAGTTCATATCTAGCCATTCTTACTTTTTCTTGCAATTTTGACTATATACTATGATAACAGAATTGCACCAGTTTGCAATATCAATCAGCATAACAGACAGTTTTTGTACAGATAAAATAACTAGAAGTGAATGACAATTTGAAGCTTTGGCAATATTGGATTGTTTACATTCATGCTGACAAAGCAATTTAAATTTGAATTTGACACCAAAAGCCTTGCACTTTTAAGTTACAAATGGCCAGGCCTGTTCGTATGTTAAAAACAAGGTGGATAGAACTGGTTAAGTTGGACTAGTATGCAAATAGGATGCTGGAATAACATGCACAACCGCTAAATGAATTTGTTGATTCAGATTTTCTATAATGGGGCCATTTGAAGGAAAAAAAAAAACAACAACTGTAAAAATCGTTTTAAACTGGTGGACAGTAAAAGTTTTGTCTCCTGTCTCCAAAACCAATGAGGTGTTAGTTTTTGGACCTGGTAAAAGTTAACATTCCTTAACTAACGGAAACTTCACTGTGCATGCAAATGACATGTAACTCAAGACTCATCTTCCTTTCAAATATTCCTTCTGAGATCTCAAGTCGTTGGCATATCAAACAAGCAGTCTATGCATTTTTCCATCATCCAGTTTTCCATGTTAACAAACAGCATACGTCTATGTGGTGCCACATAACGTATTAACACCCAATGCACCGAGAGTCTCTTGTCAATTGTCTCTATCCCAGGTTCCTCTAATGCTGTTCTTCTCTGACTGTCTTCTTCTCTTCTCTAATTCAGGGATGAGTTGTTGAGTGAGACTAGTTTCCCTGATTGACCAACCCTCCCTGCCTTTATTCGAGGACTGTCCAAGCTCCACTTTCTGTATCTGTGTCCCTCACTTTTACATTCATGCTGACAAAGCAATTTGAATTTGAATTTGACACCAAAAGCCTTGCACTTTTAAGTTACAAATGGCCAGGCCTGTTCTTATGTTAAAAACAAGGTGGATAGAACTGGTTAAGTTGGACTAGTATGCAAATAGGATGCTGGAATAACATGCACAACCGCTAAATGAATTTGTTGATTCAGATTTTCTATAATGGGGCCATTTGAAGGAAAAAAAAAAACAACAACTGTAAAAATCGTTTTAAACTGGTGGACAGTAAAAGTTTTGTCTCCTGTCTCCAAAACCAATGAGGTGTTAGTTTTTGGACCTGGTAAAAGTTAACATTCCTTAACTAACGGAAACTTCACTGTGCATGCAAATGACATGTAACTCAAGACTCATCTTCCTTTCAAATATTCCTTCTGAGATCTCAAGTCGTTGGCATATCAAACAAGCAGTCTATGCATTTTTCCATCATCCAGTTTTCCATGTTAACAAACAGCATACGTCTATGTGGTGCCACATAACGTATTAACACCCAATGCACCGAGAGTCTCTTGTCAATTGTCTCTATCCCAGGTTCCTCTAATGCTGTTCTTCTCTGACTGTCTTCTTCTCTTCTCTAATTCAGGGATGAGTTGTTGAGTGAGACTAGTTTCCCTGATTGACCAACCCTCCCTGCCTTTATTCGAGGACTGTCCAAGCTCCACTTTCTGTATCTGTGTCCCTCACTCCCACCTAGAATCCAAATTTGGACACTTGTCTGTATGATTGGACAAATGTCCCTTCTACACCCTATATACTTAAAATGTGCCTTTTTTTTCAACATCTGATCAATAAACATGTTTGAAAAACTGTCACCCCATATCTGTTGTGTGCATGGCCCCCAAAACTTTAGAACCCTCTTTGTTTGTGACACCTTAAACCATCTTTGTAAATATGTATTATTGTAGTATACGTGAAAACACCCTACAAAGCATGGACTGTTTCATTGCAATACATCTGAAAGCGTGGATCTGCTTTCCATTTTCTTTGTAACTCAAACATGTTTTGTTTTTCTTTTAAATTGCAGAGCAAATGTTAAAAGTTCTCCACCAGAGAAAGGGGAGCAGTACTTGTAGTTTGGGACAGGGCGACTTCGTGGGTCACAAGCTGTTAGATTTTGACAACAGACAAGACACTCTCTTTCGGTAAAAAAGCAAAGAACTCCAGTAAAAAACTTATGCTAGATTTAGAAAGCCAGCTGACATGTTTCCCTGTAATACAGACAATGCAGAGGTTCAATAAGCCAAGCAATGCATTTGCAAACTACATGACTTTGTACTGTAGTATAAAACAAATGTCCGAAATTTGACGAGGAATGAGCCACAACAGCATTATCGCAACGTGTGCGACAAATATGTCATTTTTGTCACAGTTGGAGTTTGTTATTCTTGCCGAAAAACTATATCACTCATCTGGAGATCATTGATTCAGGGTACATTATAATGCATTTAAATAATTATGCAAATCTTCAACATGTGCAGTGTAATATACTTTGCTATAACTCTGTTTTGACTCACAAATGTCTTTTAGTTTGCTAATAGTTCTACCTTGGCGTATGTGAGATGGATCTTTTACCCGTGGTAAAATCAAATTTTTTTCTTTTCTTTTTGTTGTTCATAAAATGTATAGTACGTAAACTTTGAGGGGTTTGTCGCTGTTGATTTTGGTTCAAAAACACCCACATGCGGCAGATACAATTAAATCTCTTGGAAACTCTCTAGTGCACTTATGATTTGTCTTGGTGAATTGTATTCAGCCTGCATTGAAAGGCACTGTTTATCACAAATAATGTCTTTAAAGTGGTCGCGGAGTCTGTAGGTTGTCATTAGAAATTTTTTAGTTCATGTTCCAACAATTATGTTACCTAATATTCAATTATGTATCATCTCATATGATGTATCAAGCTTTCTGTTTATCTGTTTTAAAATAAAATAAACTATACAAAGATATATTTTCGTGTGTGTGAGTCGGGTAATGTGCTGTTTGCGTGTTGTCACGTGACTAATGTAAGTCACATGACTAAGCCAAATGCTTTTTTGACCAAGACTGTCAAAGTAGCAAACAAACTGGAAACCAAAAAAAAAAAAAAGATTTTTTTTTTTAATAAAAAAATGTATTTATTTTTTTAATTTGTTTTTTTTTAATTATAATTATTATCATTAGACTTTAGAGTCCATCCATGAAATGTAAGTCTGTGGGATATTTGTAACATGCAAAAGTTGGAAGTCCAATTTCTCAGAAGGGTTTGAAAATAATTATCTAGTTTCAAGTTATATAGCACATTTAAAAACAGCAAGCACAGCTGACCAAAGTGCTGAACAAAACATAAAACAAAAGCACAGGGCAGATCACATATTAATGACACAAGCTCACAACGACTTGAAAGCCAAAGAAAAAAAAAGTTTTTAAGATCATTATATTACAAACACTAATTTTCATTTTTATGCATGTTTTATATTTAAATTTTAAATATGCCTTGAGGATAATTTTCTTGGTTTGCATCATTTTCCAATCTTGTCTTCAAAAGTTCCTGTTCTTTCTCCATTTTCATATTAATAAAAGGCCAAAAAGAAAAAAAAATCAAACTCTCTGACTTCAGTTCATCAATTAAATGGGGCATGTAAAACCAAATTAACAATTAGACTAGCTCAAACCGAGTCTAGCCAGACGATAAATCAGAGCCGAGAATGTCTGTGTATGTCTCACCCCCATCTCAGTATCTCACCACGATTCAGACCTGTTTTTTACACCTGGATGATCTTTTCCTCATGAATGCCGTGCTTGACCGAGCGTCTGGACCCCTGATGGTGCTCAATTTGAGCAAAAGATAGACTCTCTGTTTTGTTTGGACTGACTTGGCCTGGTTTCGAAGTCATTAATGTAATCTTTCCGACCGGTGTTTGGATGAGGGCTGAAACAGGTCTATGCTTTTGTCAGTCTCAATTATGATAGTGTCATGCTAGAGTCATGTGGTTGTTTAATAGTAACTGATGAAAGCATCCTGACCACAACATCGTATAGTCTGACTCTGCCTTCAAGTTATGCCAATAATCATTTTGATTATGCACGAATGAATACTACTGCTATGACATTGCTAGCAAATAACTTCAAATTAGAGGCATCAATTAAGAATTCATGGTGGAAGTTAAATGGTGAACATCGACTGTTTATTTTGTATGCATTTTCATGCAGACGAAGAATAGTGATAAAACTACTATACATTGTGTTAGTTTACGAGGCAATCTTGTGCTACATTTTTTCATCATTCTATATGTGGTGGCAAAATTAAGATAAAATATAGTATCCATTCTACACACCTACTACTATATAAAAATACTCACCTACTATATAATCAATTACAGTTATATTTTGTTGCATTAGAGCTAAAACAGTGAAACAGAAAGAAAGAAATGTGAAATTGTCCAATGTGTCCACTTCATGCTGACCAAAATTACTTGAATTATAATTTTGCCTTTCAAACTTGTAAACTGAAATCTAAAGGTTGCATGAATCTCTAGGCTGTAAGGTTGCAAGAATCGTAAACAGAAGCTTTTAGTTCTTATATATTCAATGCTCACATTGTAATCTATACTTTTCAGAAGCATTTGGTGGATTGCTGACTTGGTATCACATTTAACTACATCCAATGATTTCGAGAGGATTTGTCAACATGCACAGGGTGCGTTGGGGGAAATTTCAGCACATGGTCATGGATGTTGAAAGAGAAAATGAGTGAAACCTCAGCTATTCCGGAATGTTCTGTAACAGTTTTCCAGCACATGTTTTTAATTTTACAACCTGAAATATCATTTAAGGTTTCATAATGTGCAGTTTACCATCCCAGTTTCAGGGTAAACAGTCAAAAGGATCAAATAATGTTGACAAATTAAATAATTTAAATAAATGAGTTAAGCATTTAAAGACTTTGTGTTCAGGCACTTAAAATCCTCTTCTAGTTCAAAATCCACCAAAGCTGTCTGAAAAAACATTGACTACAGAACATGAAATGTCAAAACCAAAGAATGATGTTAAATATTTAACCGCAGCCAAGAACTTATTAATTATAGGTTAAATACAACTACATTAGAGTACAACAAAGAGTTTGCAAAAGTCTTGATTTCCAAATAAGCTCATATTTAAAGGAATATTTCACCCAAAAATGAAAATTTGCTAATAATTTACTCACCCTAAGGCCATGCAAGATGTAGATGAATTTGTTTCTTCATCACATTTAAAGAAATGTAGCATTCCATTACTTGCTCACCAATGGATCATCTGCAGTGAATGGGTGCCGTCAGAATGAGAGTCCAAACAGCTGACAAGTAATCCACACAACACATCAATTAATGTCTTGTGAGGTGAAAAGCTGTGTGTTTGTAAGAAACAAAACCATCAAGATGTTTCTAACTACAAACTGTTGCTTCCAGCTAAAATACGAGTTCTTTACCCATAATATTGATTTCTCCAGTGAATATTTCTTTTAGTGCCCAGATCATTAGAAATTAGACTATTAAAGAGGTCATATGATGCGATTTAAATTTTTCCTTTCTCTTTGGAGTGTTACAAGCTCTTGGTGCATAAAGAAGATCTGTAAAGTTGCAAAGACTAAAGTCTCAAATCCAAAGAGATATTCTTTATAAAATTTAAGACTCGTCCATGCCCTCCTAAAAATTATTTTTTAGCAACATCATATGACCCCTTTAAACTAGACAATTAACCATTCATGTTTCATCTACACATAATGATAATCCAACTATTAATCATGTCTTGATGTTATGAAAATCAAGCAGAAATATAACAGGTGTCTGATCAATGTGTGAAACACCTGAAACAGGTAATCATGGTCTTTGGGTTTGTTCCTGTAATATGTACAGCACGTTGCCAAAGCATCATGACTATTTCTTCTGGGAACAGGTGCCAGTTTTTTTCTTCTTCTTCTTAATAACAGTGAATGATACTGTCCTTACAATTATAACTAAGTTCTTTTTTCTTTTTTTTTTTTAGCTTAAGTGGTATGTTGCAGTTGGGTCCAATGCTGGTCACCTCTTCTGAATAGTTCAGTAATGTCATAACTTTCTTTGCCAAGACAGCATTCAGAAAAAATACTTATGTTGATGAGAGTAGTGCTGCACCCAAGTGGTCATTAACAGATTACATCGTTGAATTATATTTGAAGGTGAAAACTGCATAGTGGCATGTAAGATTTTACTGTTTAGCATTGTTGTTTTGAAAGAAAGTATGAATTATGCAGCAAATAATTTTTTTTTAAAATAATTAAAAAATTATTATTTTATTTTTCAAATAGCATTGTTTTTGATTAGTTTGACTAAGGTTAATCGTCCTAATTTAAGTCCAAATTGTGGTTCTCAACTGGTTTTGCTTCGTTAGATTTCAAATGGTGAACCAACACAATACCAAAGTACATAAAAGTACCAAAATAAATAAAAACATAACATTAAAATACCACCATGAACTGCACAGGCCCAACAACTTGCAAAATTACTCATATGACACAGGCTGAACAGAAAAATTGACAATGGATCCTTTCTCGCTGAACCCATTTTTATGAGACTTATTTTTTTATGATTTTTTTTTTTGTTTGTTTGTAGTCAGGACATATCATGCAACTGTTCATGTTGACATTGAATTAGAATACCTTTAACCAAGCAATAGATAGGCCTACATTTGTTTTAGATTAATAGATTTGCACCAAATTACTGAATTTGACTGGAGCTGGACAAAAAACCTTTGACCTCAATAAAAAATATATTGGATATTTTTCTTCCTTTTTAATGTTGGTAAGTTGATTTATTTCACTGTCCTCCTAACTATGCATGATTATAGTTACATAGTTATAGTTGCATTTTATTATTTGCATTTATCTTTTTTTTTGACGTTTTTATTAATAATTTGAATCAGGTTTTGTTTTTATATTTTCCATTTTCATTTTAGTTTTTATTAATTTTTATTTCTGTTTTTATTTGTAGTTATTTTAGTACATCAAGTGAAACTAAATTAAAATGACAAATGTTGCCTTGGCAACTAGATGAAATTAAAAAAGATCATGTTCATTTTATTTCAAGTAGCTAACAAAAATGTTTTTATGGTTTATTTTTACATTCAATTTTAGTTTTTGCTAACTATGAACCCTGTCAGCGAATTTTAAGTCATACAGTTGAAAATGCTCAGCCTAAACGTATGTTGACCATAAAACTTGCGATAAAAAACACTTTTATAATAATAAGAGTGGCACACTGTGAGCAATGAATTGGATGAAACCACTCCATTTACTCTGAGATGTGTCAGTCAACAGATTTTAAACAGACCATTTAATTGCAGTGAATCAAGGTGTTGTGTATTCACTTCACTAACTCCCTCAGTAAACAAAAAGCCTTATCAAAATCAAACGATAACCAGTGGTCCATAATCCATTTTGTATGTTTGACATTCAAGTGTTTTCTTGTTTCTTGAAAATGGATCTCAAAATTACAGCAGCAGTGGGGAGTCTGACTTGAAAGTATAGCGTTTGCTGCAAAGACATTAACCATGCTTGAACTCTGCTCGTTTTTTCCCTCTTTTTCTTTGGTTTGTGTTGTTGCCAATCCATCAGAGAGAATACTCCCTCCTGTTAAGAGTAATGACTGAATGAGTGTTTGGCTTTTCTGTTGCCTACAGCCAGTCAGCAGCGTAACGCAGCTCCATTACGCCAGTGTGCTGTGAGGCCCAGCTTTCAGCGTGAAAGATTTCCACCCAATGAATGAATTAATTCCTGCTAGCATTCCATTATGTGACTAATAGATGACATTAGTCACATTAGTGACATTAGGAACATTAATTAGAAGCATTCAATATTCAATTATCATTTTTTTCCCATTCAAAGAGGGGGTCGTTGTTATTATGTTTGTTCATATTAAGGATCTCACTGATAAAC